CCTAGAAACTTTTTCTAGCATAATTTCCTGACATAGCTGTGCCAGCAAATCCCTAGTGTAAAAGCAGTTACACCAACTAAACTGTGCTTATGCTGGTATAGTCTAAGGGCTTGTCTACACTACAAAATTAAGTCGACTTTATCTAATTCGACCTCAAGCCCCCGAATTAATGAAGTCGATTGTGTGTGGCCACACCAGGCTCATTGTCTCGATGAGTGCGTTCTCAATAGCAGAGCCTGTATCAATGCACAAAGCAATGCATCATGGGTAGCTATCCCAAAGTGCAACTTGCCGCGGTGTGTTTTGGGAAGTTTGTGATGGGAACATTGTATCGGCATCCCATGATACACTGTGCTCCCTCCCTCATATCAATGACAAACAACCCAGTGGTTTTCGCGGTTTAAAACCACCGTGCGTATGCCATAACCCCAGAAGCATGGAGCCTGTTCAATTGTGCACTCTTGCTGTGAGCATCTCAAACACCTTGCGCCTTCTTCTGCAGTATTTCCAGAGCTGAAGTAGGGCCCACCGCGTGGAACATAGTGATGTCCTGCAAGCAGCCCTGCTGCAAGCCATTGAAAACACTTCACAGTTGCTGCTGGCAGTCACAGAGCAGCTGCACTCTGTTGAGTGCCATTTCTGGTCCCCTGAAACAAGCATTGACTGGTGGGACCGCATAATTTCGTAGGTATGGGATGACGAGCAGTGGCCACAGAACTTTTGAATGCAGAAGGCCACTTCCAGGAACTTTGTGCAGAGCTTTTCCCTGCTCTGCAGTTCAGCAACACAAAAATGAGAACTGCTCTGACAGTGGAGAAACAAGTGGTGATCACGATTTGGAAACTTGCAATGCCAGACAGTTACTGGTCAGTCAGGAATCAATTTGGAGTAGGTAAATCAACCATGGGAGCTGCTGTGCTCCAAGTTTGCAGGGCTATTAATCGACTTCTGCTACGAAAGGTAGGATGTCTAGGAAATGCACAGGACATAGTGGATGGTTTTGTCACGATGGGGTTCCCTAATTGCCGTGGGGCGATAGAGGGCCCGCATATCCCCATCTTGGCACCAGACCACCTTGCCAAAGAGAACATAAACTGAAAGGGATACTTTTCAATGGTGTTGCAAGTGCTGGTGGATCACAGGGGACATTTCACCGACATCAACGTAGGATGGTTGGGAAAGGTTCATGACGTGCGCAGCCTTAGGAACTCGGGTCTGTTCAAAAAGCTGCAATCTGGGACTTTCTTTCCAGACCACAAAATTAACATTGATGACGTTGAGATGCTATAGTTGTCCTGGGGGACCCAGCCAACCCCTTGCTCCCATGGCTCTTGAAGCCATATACTGGCTGTCTGGACAGCAGTAAGGAACGGTTCAACTATAGGCTCAGCAAGTGCAGAATGGTGGTTGAATGTGCCTTTGGTCATTTGAAAAGGCACTGGAGAAATCTATTAACAAGGTTGGACCTTAGTGAGGAGAACATCCCCATGGTTCTAGCAGCCTGCTGTGTGCTCCATAATATCTGGGGGGAAAAGGGAGAAATTTTCCCCAGGGGTGGGCAGTAGAGACAGATCGCATGGCAGCCATTTTTGAGCAGCCAGACACCAGGGCAATAAGAAGAGCACAGCATATCTGCGAGGCTTTGAAACATCATTTCAGTGATGAGTCACAGTAATGTGAGTTGCTTGTCTGCATTGTGCTTTCCCAAATCTTCACCTGGCTTGTCCCTGTAAAGCCAACCCCCTGCCCAAGCCCACTGCTTCTACTCAATAAAGTACATTTATTTCTCGAATCAATTTGCTTTATTTAAAGAAAAGTAAGTAAAGAGGGAGAACAGAAAGAAAAGGTAACTCTGGGGAAAAGGTTGTACAGTTGGAACGGGAGAAGCGTTTTCGGCTGTGTAATATAACACCACATTCCAGACCATCAAAGGTCTGTAAATGGGCACCTTCTGTTCCTTGTACCCTCCCCCCCCCCCCTTAGTTAAGTGAAAGGGATAATGGAGTTTTTGCCCATGCCTCATGGAACGCTTTGGGAAGGGTGATTCTGCATCAGGCGATGCTGTCTGTCTGTCCACCAGGGTCTGCAGAAGGACTCTACCCTCTTGCTTCTGTTCCTGCCGTTCAACCAGACGCCTCAACATGTTTGCTTGGTCCCTCATAATCTGAAGCATCTCATCCTGCACCACACGCTCTCACAGGGCTCCAGGGTTAAAATATTTCCTGGCTCTCAGGGAGAATAGAGCCACTGCTCGCCTGTCTCCCATTCTGCTCTTCCTCATCCATCATATAATCCTCCTTGTTGTCCCTAGACTCTCACACCTGTGAGGTGTTCACGTTGCTTGTGGGGTGCTGGTAGGGTCCCCCTTGAGAATCGCATGCAGCTTGTTGTAGAACCGGCATGTGTGGGGTTCAGCACCAGAACGACTGTTCACCTCCCTTGCCTTCTGATATGCTGGGCAAAGTTCTTTTATTTTCACGCGGCACTGCTGTGTGTCAATCGTGTAGCCCTTCTCCCCCATTCCACGAGCGATCTTTGCATAGATGTCAGCGTTTCTTCTGCTGGATCGGAGCTCTGCCTGTACAGACTCCTCTCCCCACACAGCGATGAGATCCACCACCTCCTGTGCAGACCAGGCTGGAGCGTGTTTGGGGCGTGCAGTCTCCATGATCAGCTGTGCTCAAGTTGGCACACTCTCAATGCTGATCAACCAGGAAATGGGAAATCAAAAGTTCATGGGGCTTTAGCAGGGGATGGGCTTTTTCTGTGTACCTGGCTGCAGTGCAGCAGAGTTGAGAATGATCTCCAGAGCGGTCACAGATGAGCATTGTGGGACACCACCTGGAGGCCAATTAAGTCAAATTACACAATGCTGCGTCTGCACTACCTCGCAGTTGGCCCATGAAAATGAAACTAAGCGCTACGCCGCTTGCAGACGTGGATTACAGAAGTAGACATCAGAGGCGACTTAAGTCGACGTAAAGGACCCGGTAGTGTAGACACATACATTAACAGGTCGACTTAAGGCGGCTTCCTTCAACCTAACTCTGTAGTGTAGACCAGGCCTAAGTCAGTTTGGGGAACCAGTGTAAACTATACTGGTATAAGAGCAGTTTTGCTAGTATAAGCTACAACACCTTTTGAAAGTTTCCACAAAACAGAATTGTCGTCCTCTGATCAGCTCTAATCAAACTCTTCACTGCTCTTCTGTTTAAACATGGCTTTGGTAGTAAGGGTGGGCAAAGCTTGCTGTGTCTGTTTACTAGGGGCAGACAGTCTCCCAATTCTGGAGATCCTTCTTATTCCGCCTCTTTGTTTTTAGGGCATCTGATGGGTTCCCCCATTCCCCTCCTCTCTAGTGTCAGATGTAACTTGGGGGCATGTAATTGTTAAGTCTTTACATAATATGAGAGGCTTGGCATTTTAAACAACCAAACAGCTGTGCATGTTCACAGGTACATGCACACACAAATCTCTGTAGGAAGTTTTCTACCCAAAGATGACTTGTCAGAGGTGCACTGTGTAGGTCTGAGCACAAGTAACAGGACAGTCGAAGCATGCAGGCAACCATGCAGTGAGCTGTGCATCAGGGCCTGGAAAAGAGAGATTACTAGATCTGATTACCAGACCCAATTCATGCAGGGAAGGGACTGGTATAGGGAGTGTGTCTCCAGTATTTGGGAAGTGTCTAAAACGGAGTCAATCTTGGAGTTGGCTGAAATTAGCTTGTTTTACCTTAACCTGATTCAGCTTCAGGTCTTTTACTTTTTTTCTCCTGAACTGATTTACTCCTCTCTAATTTCAGTCTTTTGCTGACGTTGCCCCACCACCTTTAAAAAAAGCTAGTTAATTGTTTATTTGGAGGTGCTTTCTGTGCGTGTAACCAAATATGAATAAATACAAAGTTAAAGGAACATTGTTTAGCTTGCAAAGTCAAACAGTCAAAAGTTAGAAAGTGCCATTTTTATGGTGGCCTGTGCAGTCTTAATTCTGCCCCCTTGTGTATCCATCCTGTGCACTGAATGAGCTGGTCCTGTGGAAAACCCAATATGTGCTCATGTAATTATAGACACAATGCATGCACATAAGGGGTATTACAAGCACTAGGGAGAGAGCGAATGTGTGCCAGAATCTTAAAATAAATTATGCATGGTTTAACAATTATGAAAGGTGTTGCAGTGTATATTTTCTGCTACTATATAATGATTGAAATCTTTGGTCGTTTTATCTTATTGGACTGAGGATGGATTTTCAAATGGGTAGACATTTGACGGAAGTGGTACATTAGACATAAATCAGAAGAAAAACAATTGAAAAATATTCCTAAAAGGAATAAGCAACTTTCAAACCAGTTTATGAATCAATGATCATGAAACATCTGTCCATCTGTGATCTTTCCTACTTTAAACTTTCCCATCTTTTCAAGCAGTCGTTTATCTTCATTAATAATCCTCTCCTGAAAACAATCCTATGTCTTGTTTTTTAGCACTGTAAGTGTCTTTCTGTGTATGTAAAGTACCGTGTAAATGTATAGTGCCCTATATTACAATAATCTGAGCAAATGTAACTGCTAAATCCTGAACACTTGTGTAAATTGTAAGGATTTTTTTTAATGTAACTTTTGCTGACATGAAGCCTTTAAAATCATGTGCATGGATATTGTCTGGCTTTTGGTCACAATAGGGCGGATTGGAGGGGTTGTGAAGGAGCCAGCACTGCTTTTCCATCTGCAGTTTGGCCTGTTCCCTCCTCCACTTGAGAGAGCTGCTTTAGGAAGGCATAAATCAGCCTGTTCCAGAGCCTGGATTTGTTAATCTTCTGAGCATTGCCCATTTTTCCCCTCTCTCTGTCTTTCAGGCTGTTAGGATGGTTATATTCATGGACCGTCCTTTTGTTGTGTGTGTTTCTAACCTAGCCCCACAGCATAAGATTATTCTTTTGTACATTCAAAATAAATAACACAACGCATTTATTGGGTTTTGTTGGGGCTGCTTTTTCAGGATCCCCTAGATCCAACAAGAACGGCCATTGTGATCAGCTCTCTGGTAGCGGGTGGAGTAGCCGAACGCGGGGGTGAACTGTTACCAGGCGACCGCCTGGTTTTTGTAAATGAGAAATATTTGGACAATGCCACTCTAGCAGAGGCGGTAGAAGTGTTGAAATCTGTGCCCCCAGGTACTATTCGCCTTGGCATCTGCAAGCCTTTGGTGGTAAGGACTGATTTTTAATTTATTCTATGTTGTCACAACAGTGACACGTACGGATGTAACGTGAGCATAGTCCCCAATTCAACAAAGCACGTTGTTTAAGTCTGTCCCTATTCAAGACATCACCGAAGCAAACGCTTAACTTGAAATATGTGCTTAAGCCCCAATCAGTAGGACTTAAGCATGTGTTTGAAGTCAAGAACATAAGTACTGTCCTGAATAGGGATACTTTTTGGATTCGGGACCATACAGCAGACTTGAGAACACTGTTTTATTGTTCATTAATTAAGTTTATTTGTGTAGCACCATATAACAAGACCCGAGACCATGAAGTGCTTGCAGTATAAACAAACAAAGAAGCACTGAAAGAGTAATGTAACAAGGCTTTTGGATTCTTTCATTTAAAAAAAAAAGTATATACTTGCCCATATCCTTATTTAGCTTCTTTCTTTGTCCCTTTTTAGGGCTGTCAACTAATCGCAGTTAACTCGCGCAATTAACTCAAATTAATCGCGATTAAT